TATAACGCCCCCACGGCTGAAAGGGCGAACCCGCGACCCGCAGATTGGGAGTCGAGCGTCCTAACCACCTGGCCATGCTGGGCCAGATTGTTATCTAAAAATAAGACGTTACGTTTGCGTTGTGTAGCCAATATATTTCAGTTGTTAAGATTGTTATCTAAAAATAAGACTTTAAGGTTCTATTGTGTAACCAATATATTACAGTTGTTAAGATTGTTATATTCTATCGTTATAACATTTGAACCATAAATCAATGTATTATTTTACCTCAAATGAACTGTTATGAATTTCTAGCTGTTGTTTTGAAAATTTTTGTTTCTTCCAGAATTGAACCTCCATTTTCTCGAACTATAAAATTATTTCATTTTAATTAGTTCCTAATGTTATTAATAATGGACTTTTCGAATTAATTCATTTCTTATAAACCAGAATTTCTATAGTATAAAATAAGTCTTACAAATGCACAAAGGATATTAATTAATAGCTTTAATAACTAAGAGAATCACCAGAAAAGGATAAGGATGTGTCACTTATAGAATACTCGTATGTGCAGAAGTTTTGGACTTCCAAAACTCGGTCAAAATTGCTTTAAATATTTTATACTTTTAACATCAAAAGTAAATATTTTTGCTTATATTCACTCTTCATACTAGAAAACAAACAAACAAAACTAACAATTAAATTAAAAAAGCAGTAGTAGTAAAGTACTTTTATTCCATATTTGGTCGGATTAGGCCTAATAATTAGCATTCACACACTGTGAATCCGAATATCCACGGTTCGCATCCCGTTAATGCGTGATCAAAATCACGCTCCTCACTTTTCACTCTGTGATTCTACTTCGGCAGATATCTCTGTTATTAGGGTATATTATACTATTCTCACAGTGTAGTCTGTACCTTAGTTTTAATTGTCATTGCTATTTGTTTTTCACCCAGTTGTTGTTTTCGTATTTCGTTCCTACTATTGTAAGTTTATGGTATGGATTATTTCAAACATTCGGTTTATTTTGTTTGATTTTGGAAAAGAAAATAGAAGTTCTAAATTAACTACAAGTTCATATCATGTTTATATCTGCGTTATCTTCTCAAGATCACATCTAATTGTATCTCCAACATAAAACATTCAACTTTATGAATAATAGTCGCGTCTGTTGTTTTGTTTCTCTTTTTTCAATACTTTCGTAATAAGAAAGATACTTTACAACATTCCAACATAGTTAACTTAGTGTTACTGACATCTACTTTTCCTGGTAAATTTCCATTACGTGTTTGCACAGTACTTGAAAAGAAACTGGAAAGTAATTCTTATCTAATATTTGTATCTACAAACAATGCATTCATTCCACTTTTCTAAACCTGGTTTATTAGGAATATTTACGTTTTAGAGTATTAATGTTTGTATTTATAGAAAAGCTACTAACGTTATCTATCTGTGTTTCTAATTTTGGACAATTGACCAAAGGGAATGCCGCCAGCCAAGAAGCATACGGCCATCTACGCTAAAGGCTTAATTATCGCTCTTATAACGCGCCCACAGCTTAAAATGCAGGAAATATTTTGTACCGTCACACGGATTCGAACCCAGGTTACCAACCCCAAAATTCAGAGCTCTACCACAGGGCCAGACCACGCCCTCCTTTTACGAGAAAATGTATTCAAAATTAAAAACATGCCTTTCCCTCGATGAAAATTTTGTTTGTTTAATAACATAACAGGGAAAGTTATCATATTTTCCCTTTTCTAAATTATTTAACGTGTACACATAAATCCAGAACAAGAGCAGAATAATAAATAAAAACAGTTCGCTTTGTCATTGTTGAAACTGACAGAATCCAATATTTATTTATTTTTTGCACTTGTTATTTCATAACCTTTTTTTTTTTCTTACACATATCGTATTGAATACGTATCAGGTTTTCGTTCTACTACTCATCAAGCAAATATAGAAAAAGAACTAAAAACGAATGTCGAGCATTGATCTTACACACATACGTCTTTTAGAGAATTCATTGATCAACTGTTACCCTGTAGTAGTGATAATTTTACTTGTGTCGAATAGTTTTACTGCTGCACTTACTTTCTATAAGTCTAGTATTCAACCGTTTCGTTCGGGTTAGCAAATTTGATATATATTAATTTATAATCTCATTTCGATTATAACTGTTTCATCTCCTGTGATACTCGAGATTGTTACATCTCCCAGACAAAACTCTGGGGTCTTTATAGACTTTATTTTTTCTAGATTATGTTATTTTAGGACTTTATGCTGCAGCTTCTAATGTGATGATGAAGATAATTACTTTTCTCAGACCAAAACAAAAACTGACAGTCTCATTAGTTCTGCTTCCTATAAACTTCGAATAAAATACTTATATTAATATGAAACTATATCTTAGGACGTTCTAGAAACGAAAGTTCTCTAATAAATGACGTGGCTTTCTTTAGTTTTACTTTCATTTTATTTTTGATGGTGAGCATCTTCAATAAATATACTGATTTTTAATAGTAGGACGACATTAAATATTCTAAAAAGAAAACGTTATTCTAGCCTCAATAACAAAAAACAGAATGTTTGGTATTTTGTAATATATAACATGTGCAAGACTTTAACATTGTTTTTGCCATTAGATGGCATTTGATAAACCGGGATTCGATTTCCCGCGTTGGACAAAGTGCAGATTGCCCATCATGTAGCTTTGGACTAAAAACCAACAACGGCATTTGATAAGTTTCTTAAAAGTATTTGAAATATTTTTATTATAATTCACGAATACCTGAAATCTATAGGAAGATATCCTAGAAGATGTTATATCCTAACTTTTTCAGTTGAGACTTTTAATATATTTTTCAATAATATCTTGTTTAATTGATAATTTCATATTTCTTTAAGTATAAAGAATATAAGAACTATAAATCAATTCCCTTTATTAGGCATCCTATTGGAACACGAAAGTATAATAAATTCTTTTCATTCTTCATTTTATTGGTATTTCTTAATTGGAAATTGGAAATTGTTTCAAATAATTAAGAATTTAATGTTTTTTATACACCGTTTGATTGATAATATAAAACTGTAATATCAATACATTGTTGTTGAGAAATTAATTATTCAGTCCTACGTCTATAGGTAGTTTTTACTCCAGTGGATATAATATGATAAGAATTGTATCTTTGTGTTGGAGATGTATGTAAAAAAAAAATATTACTTTTAAATTGCAAACTGTTATTCATGTTTCGACACGTTATCTACTGAAGTTTAACTGTTCATCTTTTGGATAACCCTTTCAACATATCTGTGACCGTGTTGTTAGTTCAAAAAAGTGTTTGTTTTTAAGATTAAATATACATAATGGTCTATCTGCGCTTTGCTCACCTTAGGTATCAAACCCCGATATTTAGCTTTGTATGTTAAAAACCTCAACCTTACGGCTGAGCTAACAGAGATCAGTTCTGATCAAATTAACGTTAATGGCAGTTAATATAATTTCTTTAGATTTAAAACGTATGTCATGATATTACCATATTTCCTCACAACAAATAACTTGCAGGACACACTGTGTTATAAACAGTAG